TTGTCAAGAATGTACCGTTAATGAGAGGAACAGAAAAAACGAGTCAGTTTACAAGTCACAGCACAGTCCCTCTATTACAAAAGGTGAAAAAGACATAATTTCACACAAGAAAACGTTAAGCATCAACATATTGTATACAACGAAACTTACTCTCCTTAAAAACAAAGACGTTACGAATCAACTATGGTAAAAAATATTTGTTCTGGAAACATTAAAAAATAGATCACAGCACTGGACGCGATGTATCTCGAAGCTATCAACAGTATAGTACCGCGCTTCACGGAGAGCCGTTACAAGCGTTAGCCCACTAATCCCGCCGATTCACACGTAAAACAATAGGCGTTTCCAGACCGGTGATAGAGGGACTGTGGTTGAACACATGAATAAATATGGTAAAATAGTCTTTTGGGGCCTTTTATATACTATCATATATATTATATTGTCAAAAAATGCTTTTCTTTTCTCACATGTATGTATGCACAAGTTTTTGTTTACTCATGGTACACTGTGTAAGTACTGCTTGATTGATTAATCATGGTAGACATACCCACAACAAGCTCAAATAGTTGTGAAGGAGGATTACCGTTCTATGTTCCTATGTTGAATGTCCATCAGGAATAGTCCACCTGATGATAATTTCACATTTTTAATGAGGTCACATGACCATATACAGTTATTAATTATATTGATCAGATCTAGTGCAGTGTCTTCAATTAAGCACTGTATAAATGTCTATCTGAATGCTCCAGATATGACTTCATATGGACAGAAGCTGGTACCACTATATCCCTGCAGAACTATGTGCTGAAGATAATGATGTTATCACAAGGATACCGCAAAGTATGCATTCAGGCAGTATGGGTTAACACTGACTGATCTTCCAACCTACACATCATTTGATCCAATCCTATGCTGCCTTTGAGCATACTTTGTAGTATTCTCAAAATAACCTTACAATATGTGAACTACTGGTAGGACAACTGTGTAGTGTACTAATTGTTTGAGTGTGGGAATACATTGGCAAACCTTCAGTAGTATATAGTGACAGAATTGAAATTCAACAAGACTGACATTCCTCAAAAAGGTCAAGATAATTTCCTCAAAGCAGAAATAAGAAGCTAAAGTGAATTTCAAGAGCTGACAAAATTTATTTTGTTCCATACCTTTTTCATATGCAGATATTTAGAAAAGTTTGTATATTTTACATTGAAAAAACCAATCAAAGTATGTACATGTACTTCATTAGTATGTAAAACCCATCCAATACTGTCAATTATGACTTGTCTTGGTAGTTTATGACTTGTTTTCTTTTTTTTTGTATTTTTTTTTCAACCCTTTCAGGGTAAGCATGAAAGAAAATGTTAATAAACGCACATTACTTAGTAGTATGTAATGTAAATAAAAACAATGACAGGGACTATTAAAATTGTATAAAAGTACATTGTCTACTAACGCCAGTTTTAATTTTTAATTTTGACTATCCTTAGAGGCTTTCAGCTGATGTGTTAATCTGAATATCTCTGTAAACTTCTCAGTTCCATTTGTTTGGTTTAGATTGGTTACGCTACTGGTATATACAAAGTTTGGGACCTCCATCAATGGAACACACCACATCCATTCTACGCAATTACCACAATGAAATACATCCCATAATACAACTTTAACACTGGTTAATATTGTATATAAAGTTATATGAAGGTATACAAAATAAAAATAAGACTAATCTACATAACCATTACATGTATATCCAATTGTATCAAAATTTTACCCGACCAACACATGTATGACACAAGCATAAGTTTCAAATATGTACATATTTATATATAAACATTTATTTCTGTTTAGCCACAATAGATCAAAGGATTACATGTATTTGTCTATTACCTAGGAACATATGGCATTATGAATAAATACAAGACCTTGACTGAGTAATAATGTTTATCAATTAATAATGACAGTAATATCAGTTTAAAAAAAGTCATTGTCAATGTTTGTATTACAGACTTCAAAATATAGTTTCTTTCTTTCTTCTTTGTAAATAACAATAATAATATCCTCCAGAAAGTTGCATTTTTTGCAGAGTTTTTGGTCTTCTGTGTCTACCAAGTTCTATTTCAAGTTTGTGACTTGTAAGTTGGATTTAAGATAATAATTTAATATCATTTCTTTCATCATGTAAATGCAAATACAGTGAAATATTGATTTTGACCCTTATAGTAAATGATATATTCTGAGTTTGGAATCTGATCTGTTAATGTCATTGATTCACAAGTCATGACAATATTCTTTAGTTTTATCTTGGAACTTATTTTTGGATATTGATTTGGTGTAAATTTTGTCTTTTGCTTTGATCTGTAAAGATTGTCCAACCAGGTGTTTTTGTAGCAATATTGTTCTATATCCTTTATATGGCATGGTATGTGAAACTCATTGGTCTGTTGTTTTGTATCCATTTTTATCACCTGGTACTGAACTCGGCAATTAATCAAAATTGTCCAGTTTTGCACCTGTACCCAATAGTACTTGTTTTGTTGTCGACATTGAGAATATGCCTACAAAATTCCAAGTGTCTCTGTTCTTGTTGGTATGGTACTTCTGACGCATACAAGAGGATTCAAATAAAAACAATTATTTCCCAAATAAAATAAAAATACCAGGGTTTTTTTTTAGAAAAAAAAATGCAAAAGAGAGCACTGCAATTCAGTGGCGCCACCAAGTGGGGGAGATAGGGTTCTCCCTACCATGGTGTGGAGCATTCTATGGCTTCCTTTGTGCAAAAAATTACTATCAGACAGGTCACAGTTGAAGACTGTGGCCACATGTGATCCCTGGTCATTCAGACTTTTATGGTTGTCAGAGGATCTGCTACCCAGGGTAAGGGGGCGCATGGCCATGGCATGAGGGCGCTGCACCCCTGTTCCCTTGTTTAAAAAAATCCCTATTATATATTAAATATTATAACATACAAAGACTTAATTAATAACACTAGAAACTTTATTAATCATAAAAGTCCCGACATAATGATCACTGGTAGCTTAGTGGTTGTCACATCAGACTCATGATCGGTAGACCCAAGTTCAAATCCTACTTCAGGCTGAACACCCCTACCCTGGGTGTGTCACAGACTCAATGGGAAGGCCAATTTCACTGGCCGAG